AATTTTAATACCACAACCTTCAGGTTTGAAATCTCGAGAATCAATTTCATTATATACAAAACTAAGGCTACGTTTACAGCATACAATATAACGGGGAAATTAAAAAGAATGCTAATGAATATTGTTGTTTATCTTTAATTTTACCTTAGAAATTAAGAAGGAATATCAACTTCAGTTCAAACATCTTAACTTTACAATATTTAAACTTCTTAATCATTATAGAATAGAAATATATATGTATACGTAAAGTAAATGTGAGCAACTACCCAAGATTGATAGATTGAGTTAGAAACAATCTTTATTTCGCTCAAAGAAAACTTCATATAGATTACCTAGCATTTTCTTGGTTCTAAGCGGCCCTAGAGATTTTAAATTTTGAAAATAACCATCATAAATTAATTAAAGAAATTGTTGTCTCTGCTATCATAATTTGTATAGGAAATTTGAAAAATATAGGATTAAGTCAACTCGACCAGGAATAATTCATGCCTAAATAATAACAAATACAAGTATGTGTAAGAAATTTGATACCTCCATGAAGAAAAGATATATTAAAGCTTCCTCTCTATGGTGTTGTCAGGGGCGGATCCAGAAAATTACAATGGGATGGGCTGAGGAAAAAAATTGAAAGATACATACATAATAATACGTCAAGTCGTCAACATTTTAAATATTCATCAGAACATCACTTAAGTTGAGCTCTACACGACTTCAAATTACAGAATTCATCAATAATAGAATCTACATCTATACTATTGACAAAATCTCTTTCAATGAATTTGCTTTCTTTTTCCTGAATCTCTCTCTCAATGGAAAAAAAATGAAGGCAACTCCAAATTTGAGATAGTTTGAATTCTAGGGACTTGCACTACCATAGGTATAGGTTTAGAACTCCCTTTACCAGTTTGACGATTCACTTTCGGAAAGAATGACGAAATCAACTTATTCCCTTTCATAGTTTCATGGCAATATATGTTCATTATCCATTCTAAAAAACATTTTCAATATTGGTATGGATCAAAATACTTCTATAAAAATATAAAATTATAAAACTAATAAGAAAAAACAATCATTGTACATAAAACTAATAAGTATTCCCAACTTCAAAATTCAATTGAATTCTTCATTTTTTTTTCTTACATGTCCACACAATAAATAAATTTTCAATTGTATTATCAATAAATCATTCTCTAAGATTTAATTCTATATTTAATCATTATAAAGTTATAATGAATTTTGCCCTATTAGACATATTTCATTATGCATTGAAATTTCAATTAATAATCAAATCATTCTAACACGGCGGCCAGAGAGTAAAAATTTCAATTAACTAACAGAAGGGGGGCCAGAGAGTAAGAATTTCAATTAATAATCAAATCATTCTCTAATATACATGTTAAAAAAATCTCACAAGATAAGAGAGTAAAAATCTGAAGACTCACCTGCGCCAGAGCTGGAGGCAGAACCCAGAGAGGAAGGACAGCCGAGTGGCCGACGACGCAGCCCCCTGGACGGATGGAAGCGCGGCGTGGACAGAGGAACGCGGCGCGGCTGATGTCTTGGTGTTCGCTCTTCGTCGCAGGGTCGCAGCTTCTCGCCTTCTTCGTCGCAAGCTCGCTCCGTGCCTCCGTCTTTCTTCTATTTTATTTCTTTCTCGTTCTGCCGGTTCGCTAGGAGCGGTGCTGCGCAGGTAAGTTGGAATATTCTGGCTTTGGGCCGAAAAAAAAATTTGGGGTGGGCTGGGAATAAATTTTGGGTGGGCTGATAGTAAAAACATTGGGATGGGCTGGAGCTCGCCCCTGTCCACACAGCCATCCGCCTTTGGGTTTTGAGGCAAGGGCTGTCATCAACCACAAGACTTTGGAAATTCCTACATCCTTTCTAACACATAGAGATGCATTTGCGAGAGAAAGGAATCACATTTAACGATGTTTATTTTTATCATTTTTAGAGGAAACGTTGCATGTAACCTAAGTTGGGATGAGGAAGAGGGAATGGCCTCGACATATTACCAAATTACTATTTTTTCTTAAGAAATTACTCTATGATTAATTAAAACATAAATAAAAGTACACGACTTATTTTGTCATTTTTTTAAACGAGAAAAGTGGCATGTGAGTGCATCAAGTTGAGAGTACATCAAGTCGAGAGTACATCAAGTAGAGAGCTGTAAAGTAAAAAGTAAACAATAATGCAACTCTGATTCAGAATTACCAAGTTGAGAGTACATCAAGTCGAGGGTACATCAAGTAGAGAGCTGTAAAGTAAAAAGTAAACAATAATGCAACTCTGATTCAGAATTACATAAAATTGAAAGTGATTCAGAATTACATAAAATTGAAAAAATCAGTGTTAATAATTTAGTATGAAATTGTATTAACATGTTTAAAACACTTGGCTAATGAATTAGGCTATTTTTGTTGAAAATTGGTTCTGGTAAAAGTCAACACGGCCCTCTATCTTCACTGAGATTCCATCTCAGGGGCTGGGGAGAAAAACCAGCATTGGTGCCCGTATCCAAAGTTGGTGAAGAAAAGTGAAAGGGGCACTTTGGACTAGGTCATCTGGGGCGTTGTGGCCTCGAACTTCGTCTCCATTGTAGGTTTGGCTGGAGCTGCCGGGGGCGAGGGATTTCACCGAAGATAGGGACTCCCACCTGGAATACATGGACTGTGTTGTCAATCGGTGAACAAGGAACGACCTTCATCTATGACTGCCGCCGAGGTGGAGGAGCGACCTTGATCTACGAAATGGTGGCGGCGGATTTGCAGGGCCGGAAATTGATGTTGCGCTCAGCTGCCAAAGTTGCGCTCAAGTGGGCGGCTAGGGGAACCGTCAACGCAGAAGAAAACCTGGGCAGAGCCAGTTATCCGGAGGAAGCGTCTAAGGGTTGGACTCCACCATTGATTTACCTCACAAACACTAATTATTGCCAAATCAGCGTTTTAAACCTAGTGATACGAGTTTGTACTAAATTAACACCGATTTTCCGATTTTATGTACTTCTCAATCACAGTTGCACTATTGTGTGCTACCTCCGTCCCATTTTATGTGTCTTAATTTAACTTGGCACGGTTATTAAAGAAGTGGTTGAAAAAGTAAAAGTTGTGGTTGAGGTTTGAGTATAATAAAGTGAAATGATATAGGCTACATATTTTTTTCCAAAAGAGGAAAGAAGACACTTAGTTTAGGACAACCCGAAAAGGAAAGTAGAACAGGTAAAATGGGACGGGGGGGGGGGGGGTACTATTTACTCCACAGCTCCCAATTTGATGTATTCATCTGACCTTTTCTCATTTTAAAACTATGAGGAATATGTCCTCTTGTACAGATACATTAATTGAAGAGTGAAGAGTCAATTTACATTTGAAACCAATAACTTGTCAGTTGTCATGTCAAGTCCTCGACTTGGAGAGTGCACATTTTTATTATTTATAACAGTTGATTCATTAAACCTGAGTTTTTGTTATTGAAAAGTGATGAATAAAATTTATTGTTTAACTTTTCCCGGTACAGTAAATTCAGCCTGGGACCACATTGAGGGTGGAGCCACCGACAATGTCGGGACCACATGTAATTCTAACCTTGGTCTATATATACTTATATGGTGGTAAAAAAAACGTGGGGCTAAATGAAAGTGTTAGAAAGGAAAAGTAGTCAGCTTGAGGCACATAAATGATAATTTAAAGGATATTAATCCTGTAATTAATCTTGAGGACAACCAAATTATGGTTGATTAACATATATTTATTCTAGGGACCCACTTAAATAACATGCACATAAATGTTGCATGTTTTAGGCAACGTTTCCCCTAAAAAACATTACCAAATGCAGTTTCTTTCTCTAGCAAATGCAGGGGTGGAGGGGTGGCCAAACCTAGGGGTGGGCAAAAATACCAAAAAATCGGTATACCGCACTTATCGTATCGAAAAGTACCGGACAATACCGGAATATTGGTATACCGTCATTTTCGGTACGGTATCATACCATACTGATTTATTTCAGTACGGTAATGGTAAATGTTTTCAAATACCGCAGTATACCGGTATAATACCATACCGATTCTCTGCCCAACAATTACTTTAAATTCTAAAATATTGTAAAAGTCCATTACAATTGTGAAACCCAAAATTAATATTTAAGTTGGTTACAAACACCAAAATACAAAAATAAAGGCTCAATTTCCAATCTCACTATAACCTTCTAGGCTTCTAGTACGTAACATTCAAACAAACCAACTCTAATGACTAATGAGTAATGTAATAATGTCCAGAAACAAGCTCATCTTGTTCCAAGAGCTTTGCGAGTTGCGATGACCGAATGAAGAGGGATACACAAGTGGTTAGTGTACCTACATAAGAATCTCGCGAGTCAAGACACACAACTTTGTCCGAAAGTCTTATTAAATATATTTCTTAAATATAAAAATGGCTAAATACACAATATCATATTAGGAATAAATGATTTTATATCTATGTTCACATAATTTTATTTATTTTTGTTAGAGATCACTATTGATTTAGTTATATATCTATATTGTTCAAGTTATTTTAGGAGAATGTGTTACTTTTAATATGTGGCATATTAAAACGCTTAAATATACTAATAATAATAATAAAAATGTCTAAATACACAATATCATATTAGGAATAATAATTATTAATTGTATTTTGTAGCATTTTAATAATGGATAAAATATGTCGCTAGTAACACCAATTCAGTATATTTCGTTAATCTATGATAATATGTTGTGTTGAGAGACACACATGGTAATTTTTCTATACCATACTGTTACCGAACCGAAACTACGGTATACCGAAATGCGGTATATAAATTTTTTATATCGAAAATTTTGGTACGGCAAAAGTATGAGAGAAAATATTCGGTATACCGTACCGAACCACCCCTAGCCAGATCCCGGACAATTTGTTTTTTTTTGTATTATTATATACGGAGTATATATATTTTAAAAAAAAAATTAGAGTTGGGCTAATGCCAGAAAAAAACTGATCCAGTATAAAACCATTCTGGTCCGGTGCAAAAAAAAAAAAAAACAATCCCGGCTCCCGTGCTAATCTGAAGAAAATAAGCGCAGCAGCCAAGCCAGGTACACGCATCACGCACGCCTCAGCAGTCGCCCGCAGGAGTGCAGACCACTCGCATCGCCGATTCGCCGGACGCCGCCGCACCTCCGCTCATCCGCTCCGCCTCTTCTGCTTTCCGGCTGCTACTGCTCGTCTGTGCAGGCGGAGGAATATTACTACGCTGCTGCTCTGAGGAAGTCAGGAAGACTCTGCTCTTCTTCCGAGCCCAAAGATCGGGCTATTTTTGGAGGCACAATCCTATTGAGTGGCTTTTCTGGAGGATTCCAGTCTCAACACAGCCTAAGGTAAGGGTTTCTATCTTTTGTTTTTACAATTTGGCGGAATCCATGCTAATAATCCATACTTTTATCAATTCAACAATAATAATCTCTATTGAGCAAATGTATAAAAATAATCGAAACAAGTAAACAAGTTCAAAAAAATATATTAAATGGTACGGAGATTAGGATTCCGTTTAAACTCTCCTCCTATCTTAATCACCCCAGGCTTCATCTCCCCCTATTTTAACTAATTTTGCATCTTTGTAAAACATAAAAAACAATTTGGAAAATATGGATATCACATAAAAACAATCCTGAAATTAACTCAATTTAACCCTAATACTGAATTATAATCCATTTATGGTGAAAATAAGCTCAAGAGATTGCTTACATGATTATTTAAAGACTTTCAAAGAACTGTTCTTTTGGGCTATTTATAATATGAGAAAGACTACATCCCCTCTTCAATTCGACTACTCCATATTTCATTTCAGTTGTGTCTTTGGTCGTTCCGGGATAACAAATGAAGTGTGTAGACTGAGATGGAATTAAGCTGTGATAGAGGAAAAGATTGTTCAAGGATAGAGATAGATCGAAGAAGCGTATGTGCATATGTATTTGATGATGGATTGGATGTTAAATTTTCTACCATATATAAAATTATAAGTGGTCATGATTAGAGTGCAGAATGAACTAAGAATATGGGTAAACATTTATGCTACTGGTAGATCAGTAGATTAAAGAAGAAAAGGTTTTGTCTTGGAGGAAGAAGAAGGCAAGAAGCTATGCACTGTCTAGAGAGGGAGACGACGACACTAGTGAGATTATAACAGACTAACAGTGCCGTTAGTCCCGTTTACTTTCACCTGCTTTTGTGATCCGGTTTCTGAGTTCGGATTCATCATCATTACCCCCAGTGCCGCAAAGGCTCCCACCGGTAAGGGGGGTCAGATGTACGCAGTCTTACCCTTATAATAAAGCACAGAGAGATTGTTTCCGGGTGACTCATAGTGAAGATCACGTCAAAAATTGCATGGACTGACTGCTGCTTCATAACAAAGAAGCGCAGACAGTTTAGTGAGCCATTTTGCTTTATTCCATCATATTCCCAAGCCAAAAAATAGTGGTCTTTGGCTCCATTGCAAATGATGGAAATTTTCTGAGTACAAATTATTTAAATTAATTTGTTGAGTATGGATTATTCATGTACCGTGTGAAAGTACAGATTATTTATATGAATTTTGCTTTACAATTTTTAGTTTAATTTTAGTATATACCTCAAAAAAAAAATATTAGTATTTTAAATGCTATTTTAGTCTGTTTTTACAATTGATTTGTGTGCTTTGAATTGTGAAATGGAAAATTAGAAATGTCAAATGTGATTTGTGAATTTCTCAAAATATTATTATGAATTATATAAATTAAAATAAAATATTGATTAGTTTTTTATATTTTTGCTAATTTAGTACTCAATCTAAATTAGCCTAGTACAATATGGCTACTCAATCTACTTCCAAAAAGGAAAAAATCACATTGTGTTCGTTTTATAAGCCTAGTACAAGCACACAAATTAGACAAAAGTTAAATGTCTCAATTGGAAGTAGTTTCTGATGCACTTGTAATTGAGTGGGATCCGGGAAAACGCAAAACGATAATTGATTGGCTGTTAGAGAAAAGAGATGAAATTAGATGATCTTATTTGATGCTTGGACCGTTACAAATGTATATGGTTAGTTATTCTTATAGTTTTTCACTCTCAGACAGGAATATGCTGGGGTCATTGCCCATATTGCCTCTCCCTCCTGCTACTGAGGATGGAAATCTTGGTCCATTGCCTCTAGCTCAATTGACAGAAAAGGACAAAGATGATGTTAATGAAATGAATGAGGAGGAAAAGAACAAAAGCAGTTCAGCCTTAGCATCAGTTGCGACACATGCAAAAACTATTGGGATCATTTACCCACCTCCTGATATTAGAAGCATTGTTGACAAGACATCTCAGTTTGTTGTTAAGAATGGTCCAGAATTTGAGAGAAGGATTGTTCTGAGCAATGCAGGGAATGCAAAGTTTAATTTTTTGAACCCCTCAGATCCTTATCATGCTTACTATCAACACCGCTTGTCCGAGGGCCGTGCACAGAATTTGGCTTCTGGTCAGCAGCTTCCATCAAAGATAGCCGATTCAGATGCTCCAGAATCAGCCCCTTCTGCACCTTCATCTGATTCCATTGATGCAATGGCAAAGCCCGACCCATCTGCACAGTTCAGACCCATTCGCAAGGTTCTTGAACCACCAGAAGCGGAACAGTATACTGTTCGGCTTCCTGAGGGGATCACAGGAGAGGAATTGGATATCATCAAGCTTACTGCGCAGTTTGTAGCAAGGAACGGGAAGTCTTTTCTGACAGGGTTGACCAGTAGAGAGATCAACAATTCTCTATTTCAGTTTCTGAAGCCTACACATAGCATGTTTATGTTTTTCACTTCACTGGCAGATGCGTACTCAAAGGTCCTAATGCCTCCTAAAGGCTTGACTGATAAACTGAGGAAGAGTGCTGCTGACATGACGACTATACTTGAACGGTGCCTAAATCGGTTGGAATGGGAAAGGTCACAGGAACAGGCTAGACAGAAAGCTGAAGATGAAATAGAATTAGAGAGATTGCAAATGGCTATGATCGATTGGCATGATTTTGTTGTGGTGGAGACTATAGATTTCGCTGATGATGAGGATCATGATTTACCCCCTCCTATGACCCTTGAGGAGGTTATCAGGAGGAGCAAGATGTCATCGATGGATGAGGAGGAAGATTTTGTTGAGCCAGGGAAAGAAGTAGAAATGGAGATGGATGAGGAGGAGGTTCAACTCGTTGAAGAAGGCATGAGAGCCACTACCATTGAGGACAATTCTGTCCAAAATTCTGAAATTATGGCAATAACAGAGGATCATGATCCGCCCATGAGAATTGTGAAAAATTGGAAAAGGCCCGAAGAGAGGTCCCTTCCGGAAAGAGACCCAACAAAGTATGTCATTTCTCCTATAACCGGGGAGATGATTTTGATCAGTGAGATGTCTGAGCATATGAGGATCTCTCTTATTGATCCTAAATACAAGGAGCAGAAAGAGAGAATGTTCGCGAAGATTAGGGACACAACCCTTGCTCAGGATGATGAAATTTCTAGAAACATTGTTGGGCTCGCTAGGACACGGCCCGATATTTTTGGAACCACAGAAGAAGAAGTGTCAAATGCAGTTAAGGCCGAGATCGAGAAGAAAAAGGAAGAGCCAAAACAGGTCATATGGGATGGTCACACTGGAAGCATTGGTCGAACAGCTAGCCAGGCATTGTCCCAAAACAGTGCAGAAGATCAATATGATTTTGTAAATGATGCAAGGAATCTTCCGGGCCCACAAGCACCACCCCCTCCCAGGCCTGGGTTGCCATCAGTTCGACCACTTCCTCCACCACCTGGTCTGGCATTAAACATCCCTCACGCTCCTAATACTTACCTCTATCCAACTCATGGTACCCCTGGGGTTATTGTTCCACCTCTTCCCAGGCCTCCTGTGATTAACACAATCCCACAGTTGCAACCCCCACACCCTACCAACTCACCCATGTCTGGGCAGCATCTTATGGTTAACCGTCCCCCAATGCACCCATCAATGCCCATCAGTGCTCCCAACATTTCGGTACCATTACCACCTGGCTCTCAATATACACCTATCGGTCCTCCTCGACCTTCCTTTGTTCCCCATCCCATGTCCCAATCTGGAATGAATGTGGTTCCACCACCTCCAATGCTACCCCATGGAATGCCTCCACCACCTCCGCCCGAAGAAGCTCCACCACTTCCAGAGGAACCAGAGCCTAAAAGGCAAAAGCTTGATGAGTCTATACTCATTCCTGAGGACCAGTTCCTGGCCAAGCATTCGGTGCGTACATCTATTTATTTTGACTTCTTTCTTACATTCTATTCTCATTTTGTCTAGTGATATCTAATAGACAGTGTTTTGTTTTGTTTTCCGTTTTTTTTTTGCAGGGTCCTGCCCGTATCAGCATTACTGTACCAAATGTTGATGAGGGAAACCTCAAAGGCCAGGTATTGGAAATTTCAGTGCAGTCCTTGTCTGAAACTATTGGCAGTTTGAAGGAGAAGATATCTGGTGAGATCCAGCTTCCTTCAAACAAGCAGAAGCTGAGTGGGAAGGCTGGTTTTCTCAAGGACAACTTGTCGCTTGCCTATTACAATGTTTTTTCTGGAGAAACACTCAATCTTTCACTCAGAGAACGTGGTGGCAGAAAGAGATAAATATCTAGGGCTTCATTCTTACTGTTGTTATGTTAGTTTTTGAGATTTTATTTCATATGTACCTCTAACAGTGCTTTTTGAGTTTTTTTTAATTTAAAATGTCTTTGAGCTGATGGTATGGTAATCCTCTTTCTGTCTTACAGAATTCGCAACTTGGTAAGGTACCACTGAAGCTTATGGGAGGTTTTTATTAGTTAATTAGTTGTATTTTATAAGATGCAATTTTACAATCTGTTTTCTTTTCATGGCACTAATTATGTCTTGTCTTGACATGCAGCTGACCTCCCTTCCCAACCGAGCTTTAATTGGTCTCTATTGAAATCTATCATATTCGATTGTCTTGATGTTGTATATGTTTCTTGCTTCAAGTATTTTTGGATGAATCTCCTGTTAGCAGGCAGTATGTGTTTTGCTTATTTAAAAACATAATTCAAGCTTCAAGTTGCCCTAAGATGTTCAGGTATCATAGGTTTCAACACCCATGCTATGGGCTGTCTGTCTCTCTTCTTTGTTTTTGCTGAGTATATACGAGAAGAGCATTCAAAGACCAGCTGCTACCCTTTGGCAGTTTGGGCTAGGCTTCTGATTGGAGAAATTCAGCATTTTTTGTGTTCTGTAGATGTGAAACCATTCTTTCATGGTTTCGCTCTTGACCAGGTCTTTGTGGAATTGGTGATTTTGCAACTTTGTGAAGTTACACGATACCTAAAGTTGAATAAATGAGTGTAATACTGTAATTTACTATAAATACAATGTTATGTTTTTTTAGCTGTGCAGACTAATATTATGCAGGATTGCAGATTTGCAGGACGATTGAGTAGTTAAAAGCAAGGTTCCCGAAGTTCTAAAAGGTTATGGGTTGTTAAGAATACCAGTTATTTGCGCTTGAAATGCATTATTTTGGTAATATATATTTTGGTTCACTTGTATGTGTTCGTTGTTGGAGGTATTCTCACAATTTGAGGCATAAAATTACAAAGATTTTTTGGGTGATGTTTGAAATTGTGTATTGCTTGGTTGGGCGTTGGGGTGGTTTGTAGAGATCGTATATTGCCTAATCTTCATTACAAGATACGAAGTTAAACGCAAGCCACAATTTCAGAATAATTGTAAAAGAACAATTGAAGTAATAATGAAAATATTGACAAGAAGAAATCATCTTTCACCGATTTTTTCAGAATAATTTCACTTTTATAAATTAAATAGTCTTTCACTGATGACTTCATTGACTTGTTATTCTAGGGTTTCACATATTTTGTGAAAAATATTAAACAAATAATCTCGTCTCATTGATTCTCAAAATAGTATGATGTAAGATTTTCTTTTCTCCCGGATAGTTTTCTTTCTTTGTTTTTATCCCTTCATACTTTTCTATTTCTTTTTCCGTTTTGTTGCAACTTCTTTTCCATATTTCTTGTTCTATTTCTCACTAGAAAAGTTTTAATTGTGTAAAATTCCCTTCTCGGGTAACTTTTAATTGCTTTTCTAACTCGTTCTATTTTATACAAGATCCTTTTTCCCATTAAACTTTTTGCTATATTTTTTTCTCACTTTTTACCTTATTTATTCTTGTTACTTTAAGTCCACCATCAATGTTTTTCTCCTTTTCTCATTATGATATTTTCTAAATAAGTCCTCCCATTAATTTCATCAATATTAGGAAAAAACTATTTGTGATTAAAAAACTAGTGGAAAAATGAAATATAATGAAAAATAAAAAAATCAGGGAAATGTAAGAAGAAAAAAATGACATACTTTTTACAGGAAAAGTGATAGATGAGAGGAAGATTAGGGAAGAAGAATGAGAATAAAAACCATACTACGTGGTCAAATTACTGAACTGATCACAAAGTGTGGTCAAGTTAGATTAGCGGATTAGCCATAACCATTTCCAGCAAATAATTGGGCCTCTTTCACAAATTAAAGCCAAAAAACTCGCAAACTATTCAATAATACTGCTTGTTCTCTTCCAAAAAAAACAATAATACTGCTTGTTCAAATAGTAAAAGCCAAGCAGCCAAAATCGTGTTATTCAAACTAAAACCAATGGCAAAATTACGGAAACAGAGGAATGTAACATACTACTCCGTAACATATATTCTTCCAATGGAAATATTATAGATCTCTTTTTCTTCTATTTAAGGAAAGCCCAAAATGATGATCAGTTCTCATGGTTGATCGCCTCTTCCTTCTTCTCATAATGGTGTTTGAACTTGGCAATTTGGCCAATGCTCTCAGCCATTTGACGCCTTGCACGGAAGTGATAGACCTTGCCCACTTGGTGTATCTTGGTCATCATTTTCTTTTTTACTTCGCACAAAACAAAATCAACTTCAATATCATTGCCCCAAATTCATTAGTTTTACTACCTCCGTCCCTAAGATTGGGATAAGAGGGAATGCTGCAGTTCTTAAGAAAAGTGGAATTTGTTAGACTGATATTGAATTGATAAAGTGTGAATAAAGTTAAAATGAATTGCAACTACTCAATTATTACCAAATATATTACGAGACAAATTCAGTGATGAAGCCAAAGATTCATTATTTTTTGACTTGAGAATATGATGGAATAAAGCAAAATGACTCACTAAACTGTCTGCTCTTCTTTGTTATGAAGCATCAGTCGGTCCATGCAATTTTGGACACGATTTTTACTATGGGTCATCCGGAAACAGTCTCTCTGTGTTTTAGTACAGGGGTAAGACTGCGTACATCCGACCCCCCTCCCCCCACCATAGGTGGGAGCCTTTGCGGCATTGGGGTAAATGGAAATGAAAATGAGACGGGAAAAAGATAAAATGGGACAAATCTAGGGGAGAAAGGGAAATGTTTTTAAAACAATACAAGGGTTAGTTTGACTCCATTTGAACATCATACTTAGAAGGTCGTCTCATTTTGAGCTTCAAGCTTGAAACTATTTTTCGTTCAAATAGCGTCAGCTTCGAATCTATCAATCTATATTTCCTTTGTAATCATACAAATGATTAGCATGTAGGGGTGCTCAATAGAGATCACATATTACATTAGCTCAAATTTGGGATTGAAACATGATCCATCATAATAGATTTAGTAGATAATGAATTCAAAATTGTAGGAAAATGAATCAAAGCAATAAAGGCTTGCAGGGGTGATCCTTTTAGATTGCAAATAGTTTTAAAAAGTTTCTGCATTTGAGCTGAAATTATATCATTGTGAATTTTGAAAACACGGCAATTATAATAACTGATAACTCACATTTTTTAAATATTTACCAAATTAAATATTTTCTATCATCAATCTTAAAAGTATAATTTAAGTTTATATAAAAAATAAGATTTCATCAATAAAAATAGAAGTTTTAAACTACACTTTTTTGCCTCTGGTAGAGGTTTTTTATCGTCTCTATTGATAAAGGTTGATGGGGCTAGACCAGAGTCTAATATGACTAAGCCCTGGAGTTGGACTCATGAGTCTAGGACTCTAGGCCCTAGACAAGCAGGCGCAAGCTCGATGTCTCAACACTATCAGGTCAGCCCGACTAACGGGCGCAGCAACCAAGGAATTCAGACCGGCCCAGCCAACCAATGAAAGAAGGAAATCCAACAAGGCAGAAGTCCAAGACGGCCTGCCGGTCCAATCCGAAGTTTTCCTACCAGCCTGCCGGGAGCCTGACAGTCCAGTCGAAAGCCTGCCTACCTGCCAGCCAGCCAAGAGCCCGTCTACCGGTCCAGCCAAGAGCCTGCCTGTCAGCCCAGCTGCCGAGAGTTGGTCTGGGATAGGTTCGGTTCTAGTTAAAAAATCATGGAACTGTTTATAAAAATATAATTTCTAAATTCGTTTCGGTTCTAATAAAAAAATCGAGAACAATTTTGGATCCGAATAAAATGTAAACGGTTCAGTTCTTGCGTTTTTCAGTTCTTTGTTTAATTTCTGCTACATAAAACAGAACAGTTCAAACATATGACCTATGGCATAAAAAGATGAAAGTTTCAACATATCAAAAAGATAAAAGTTCAAACATAATAAACTCCAATTTAAGGAAACATGACATAAAGTTATAAATTGTGTTCCGCCTCTACGCAATAAGGCTAGGCACTACGGATAATTTCTATTGATAGATGTGCTGGATGGGCATGAAAAAGCACTACGGATAATTTAGTGGCTTAGTGCAGGAGTAATATTTTATTAGTTTCTTTGTAGTTGGTGGAATCAAATTTGTTGTTTTAATACAGTGGAATTTTTAATTATGTATTAGGTAGTGAGTAATATTATCGATTCTTGTTTGTTATTTTAATTAGGAGTAATATTGATTCTTCTATGCTATTTTAATACAAGGTAGACCATATACTACATAGTGGAATAATTCGGAGTAATCATATTGATTCTTCTTTGTTATTTTAATTAGGAGGAATATTATTGATTCATCATTGTTATTTTAATACATAGTGGAACTTTTATTAGGAGTAGCCAGTGGCGGATCTAGGCATCGAGGGTCAGTGTATGCACAAATGATAATACAAAAATATGTGTCATTAATTGCGTCGCCACTTGGTTTTATAACAATCACAAAGGTATACATGGACTGATGGGCATTGTATTGATAAAAAATTAAAAATTAAAACATCATTATAAATACGAAAATTACAATACAAATTGTAATGTAGATTGTAAAATAAAAATAAGTTTTATAATATCAATATATTGTACTACGTATTATACAATATACTAGCTGAAAATGATCGAAAAAGAAAAAAAAAACTGAAAACTCGTATTTTTTTTTGCTATTTTCCTTCCTAATACTCCGTAACAAATTTACAATACGTAGTACGAAGTATAATTTTAGCTCAATCAAATGAAAATGTTTCACATGTATAAGTGTATAATATTATATATATTATTATTATATTATATTGTTGATATGTATCTACTTCATAAGACCAAAAAATAAAATTACACTTAGAGGTTTTAATGCTAAATAAATTGAAATTCGAGATCAGAGAATACAAAATGTCAATATATCTTAAAATAATACTCCGTAGTATGGAGTAATAAGGATTTAAACATTTATATTTAGAGAATACAAAAAAGTTGAGTAAAGTATTGGACCAAGTTATTGCAACTTGGAAGTCTCGGGCTCTAGGATCTCACATACATGCTATTAATTTAATAATAGACTCCTAGAGTACGTTGTATCACCACATAATTGTAGCACTTCAAAAAAAAAAATCAACTGTAGGACGAGTGAGATTAGAACACGGCACCTGAAGCCTAGTAGGTACTTATTCCTACCATTACTACCATTCAGGCTAACGACATATTTTGAGATGAAGCCTATGCTTACCCTAACTATAGTGTACGTCCGCCCCTGTGAGTAGCATTATTGATTCTTCTTTGTTATTTTATGCTTACCCTAACTATAGTGTACGTCCGCCCCTGTGAGTAGCATTATTGATTCTTCTTTGTTATTTTAATACATAAGTGGAACATATAATACATACTCTTCGATCTAATAAGACTAGAACTTTAATAAATTAGAAAATATTTATTTTTGGATGGGTTTATGACCTTAATTTTGGATATTTTCATTATGACATTAGTTAACTTTTAACTATTTTTTTACTTAAGTATTAATTACATTATTTGTTCTTTTATATAAATAAATTTGTTAAAAAGTTGAGGCTTACAGCTCATTGCGCAATTAGGCTTATGCAATATGCAATGCTATGAAACCGCCTCAAACACGCAATACGCAATTTCGAACTTTGAGTCATCAAGTTCAGTTTATAAAAGACTGCATGTTATTCCGTATAAATAATCTATCTGGAGCGCATTTTACATTCATTCATTTTACATTCCACATGTGGAGTGCATTTTTTGGAACAATTATACTTAAAATTAGGGGACGTAAATACATAATCTATATGCCCAACGATATATGATGTTTCCATCTATTCTATTGCTCTAAATGTAATTTGTTTTTATGTACTTCATGTTTAACAATGGAAAAAGGTATCTTTTTGAAAAAAAATAGAAAACTTGTACACATGATAGGCATGTAAAATGAATGAATGTTCAATCCTTTTTACTTACAAACTGACTTTCATAACTGTATCATCAATTTTAGAGAGCTCACTTTTAGAGGTACGTTGGATGCTACCGGCAAGATTTACCTAAGACAACAATATAAGAAGTATTTGCCAGCACACATCTTCACATAAACGTGAAGATCTATATTAAATTTTCCCCAAAAATAGAATGAATATATGGTTTTAAAAGATGTGTTATATCCAAAAGAGTGTACTATCTGATGTTCTACACCAACTGAGTTTTCTGTAAAGAACTACACGGGCAACTTTTCCTATTAGTTTAATAGAGATAACTTTCCATACAAAAAAATCTGTTAGACATTATAACACTCTAGACACATACATAATACATATGAAGTAGATC